CCCTAGTCTGGCATGGGCTTCTCGCATGGTGAGCGTCTCTTTGGGGCTTGTTGCACCGGCAAATAGTCCTCTTGGACTTCTAATGCAATATAACCCTTTATTTACTGATATTTCCCCCATTAGCTTCTTCTTCTCGTCGAAGATCTTGCAGGAACTCTCGCGGAATAACGCCGCGTATCCTGCGGACGCGAGACGACTAATCGACACCAGGGTTAGCCCCATTTGAGGTGAGTAAAGAACGTCCTTCAGCAATATTCGTGTTTTTGACTGTCCGTTTGGTAGGAAGATAACGATGTTTCCTTTTCCTGTCGCTTCAAACGTATGTCTATCGGCCGTCGTAATTGGTTTTGGCGCGATACTGACAAAGTCCTGGAACAGGTGCCTGTATGAGGACATGTGGCGCGAAGCGCCTGAGTCGAATAACTCGATTCGAGTGTCTGATTTGCTCGTCGAATCTGTCAGCGTTGCAAAGGTAAAGGATGTTCGTTCTTCTGGCGCGCTTGCTTCATGCGCTAACCATACACCTTCAGGTTCATTGTCCTGGTCCTTCTCTTTAGCACTTGCGGCCGTTTCTGCTCGTTTCCCTTTGGCGTCGGGCCTGTCTTTGCCCTTGCCTGTAGCTGCTCCTCCACCCCCGGGACCACGGCAGTCTCTTTGCATATGACCGTACTTGCCGCAATTATGGCAGTTTCCTTTTATTTTTCGAGTACGCTGGCCTGCATTCGTGTTGTAGGCGGCGTCGTCACTCGAGGATCCTGCCTTCTTCGACTTTGAGGCTCGACGGTCGTATTCGTCAACGATTGTCGATATCAGCGTGTCAGCGGTAAGTTTGACACTTGAGACTTTGGCTGATGCCGTTAACGCTGATAGGTGCGGGTCGTAGCTGCTCGGCAACGAGCTCATAATCATCGCCGCAAAGCTCTCGTCCGTTGGCGCGTGGCCCAACGAAGACAATTGCTCTTTAACGGTGCGCATCTTGTCGAAATGTTCATGAACATTCCCCTTTTCGGGGCATTTTAGGTCCTGTAGCTTGCGCAGTAGCTCGACGGAGACTACGCGCGAGCGTTGCTCGAACAAACTCGAAAGGTGCGTAAAGATGTCTTTAGCCGTATCTAGATTTTTGATTTGAATGAATAGGGAATCGGGGATCGTTCCGGCGATTTGCTGTTTCATTATGGCCTGGCCCGTGCGCCATTCTTTCAGCTCTGTTTTGTATGTACTAACTTCTTTCACCTCGTCCGGAGTAGCAGGTACCCACGACGCTCCTCTGTTAGGCAGCGTCTGGGGATCTATTGGCTTCGTCTCGGTGCCATCCAAATGGCCGAGCAGCCCTCGAGCGTCTATCGACCATTGTAGACGCTCTTTATACATCATCCAATTCTCGCCATCGGCAGCGAGCTTGGGAATGCGGAGAAAGTCTTCTCCCAATTTTCCGTTCGAGGTGGACATCCTTTTGTGAGTCTTTTCTTCGCGCGCTTAATTTGAAATTTTCACTGATGGTGCGCAGGGCTCATAACCTGTTGTAGCAGTAGCTCAGTGGACGTGCGAAGTCAACTAACGTGTATTGGTATGTACCTGTTGTAGCAGTAGCTACAGGTAGTGTCAGTAAGTAGGAACTATGTACGAAGGTAGTACTAACCTCAGTGGACGTGCGAAGTCAACTGAGGAAGGTTGCGATGCGCGGGAACAAATGGTATTTGTAGGTAGGTAGAAATGAAAACGGTACCGAGTGTTAATAATGGCGAGGATTGATATAACAACACTTTTCAGATCAATGGAAGGTTCAAGTTTTCAAAGGAAGTAATGGCAAGGAATATGTGAATTTACTGATGCACAAGCTTGTCGATCCCGTTTGCTATCATGATCTCGGCTGCAAGTGACAATCGATGCATGATCAGGCCTATGATCAAATACTGGTTGAACTGTCTGCGTCGTAACAAACCGCGCAAGTGTCGTGCACATTGGTGTGTGGTTCTCGGTCGATCGTATCACTTTTATGTTCTCAAATACAAATATGATATACTACATTGTATGACTCGGACGTATACAGGAATGAGCCGTGCTTGTAAAAATTGTAAGTAATGAACGAATATCCCGACCACTACGCATCCAAAAATATTTTTGAGAAATACTTCTTCACGCCTTCTGTACCATGAACTATCGCCCCAATCACTCCGTCCGGTCGTATCACAAACACCTTTGTCTGGCCAGCTTCCACGAGGTAAGCCGAATACGCATAGCCGTCCCGGTCAACAAGAACGAGGTGAGGGGATGTGACAGGCATCACTGATGCCGATGATGGCAGAACGACTGCTGATCGTACAACGCTTTTGTCGTATGCCTCTAGTGCACCCAAGATCGGGGTAGCATCAGCGAGACTCGGCGAAAATACAAGCATTGTGTGGTACCAAGGTCTGTACAGACCGAAAAGTGTCGTCGTGTCAGGCTCTGCGCCCCCCACCTGCAACATATTGGGCGCATCAGGCGCCCTGTCCCCAGCCTCCAGATGCCCCTCATCAAGCACACCATATGCGTTGATAGGCTTCCTCTCAACTGAAGTAACAAATTCATCGAGTACGATGGTGCTGAATCGGCAGTTGATGCCGAGCATGTAAAGGACGGGACTTCGTCCGGCCGTCAGGTCCCCAGACGCTGTTGCCTTGTTGAGAATCGAGGTGGTCACCTCGAGCATCTCGGAGATCACAGGCAGACGCTCGGCGCTGTATGTCTCGAGAAGAGATTTGTCGGCGAGCCCTTTCTGGACGAGCGCAAGCTTCCATCCTAGATTGAACTAGTGTAGGACGCGGTCAGTCATAACACACATGCTGCATCTACCCGACTCACTGCATCTTGCACGCCTGAATTGAGTCCCTGTCCATAGACAAATCAGCAAGTATTAGCAACAATCAGATCAATCATACCTGACCACCCGTTGGGCTATGGACACTTGAGTGTGTTAGCAGCAGTTTACGAAGAGGGCACTCAAAGATAGACATACTGAGCAGCATCTACGACGGCATGTATGAGTACAGCCACACACATCTCAAAGAGAAGTACATACCACCCGCAACGAACACTCGACCCTCGCTAAATTTATTCACCATCCGGATATTGGCCCTGGAACAAACCGATGAACGTGCACCAACACAGACAGGTTCACAAAATGTACCGGAAGTCGCTCATCCAGACTACCTTTTCGAATGTAATCTCCGTTGGTATTAACGACGCGATGGTCTCAAAGACAAGCTCTTCGCTCTCAGCTACCTTCGTGAGATCTAGTTCGCGGCCGTAAAGGGAAAATTGCCAGCCATCCCCATCCTCGCCAATTTCATCTGTTGCACGCAATGAGAGGCTGCATGTCGTCAATAGACACACCTTCAAGCCTCAAGCGAACATACCCTCGTTCATTAAAGTTTCCAAACAGGTGCCAATGCTTCAAGACTGGTTTAGGATAGCTTTTCGTCGAAGTTGTAGAAATAGGACGTACCATTCTATCGAGGCCAACGGCCGTCAAACGGATATCCCCAGTCACAATCCGGATATCGTCTCTAGTCTCACCCAAAAATGTGAGTCCAAGTTGCTTGCGCACGACGCCTGCAAAGACACGTTCAGTCTCATTCATCCCGGAGGATTGAACTACGCCTCACTTTTAGCACCGTCAGCGCCGATGATCCACTTGGTATCAAAAGTCTCTGATATGCCGTTCTTTGCTAGAATAGCAGTGACGCCCTCATCGAACTGTTCGAATGAGCGCAGTTCGGTGCCCATCTCAACAAAACAAAAAAACTTCTCTAGATGGCGTCGCAGAATCACGTCTAGGAGCTGTTGACCCATCAATTTGGGGGCATGCTAAAAATCGGATCAGTATGAAGGTTTGATTAAGCGACGGTGTTACGCACGAATGGTATTGCTGGAGTAGGTTCCAGATGCGGGACTAGCAATAAGTCTTTGAAAGGTTCCAACGTCCCGGGCTTGTACCAACGTCCGGGAGGGGGTGGTTTTCCCAGACTATTGACTTCTGAAACGTTCAGGAAGTTGTAGACTTCGAGGGAGCGTGGCTGCACAGAACATGCATTCAATAAGATCACGGGATGATGTGACAAGTAGATGTGCGACAAACCCATGTTCCAGCACCACGCTGTCCGATGCAGGGGTGGTGGTCTTTCTCGATGATGCGGACTGGGATACCATTTTGAAGGAGCGTCAACGCTGCTATCAGACCCACTGGCCCAGCACCAACCTAATGGCAAGGAATTCAGCTGAGATGCAAACATGTATCATAAGTAGGTCACTTACGAGTAGTACGGGAGGATGAATATAATTCATATATAACGCTTGAGACACTGGCAGGAGGATTAGTTAGTATGGATTCCAAGGATTTGGTTTAGCAGGTCCTTATAACATCATGATGGGGACGGGGCGGTGTGCTGCGGCAATGACTTGTCATTCAGCTGTGGCTGCTGAGCTGTGTGACTAGCATTCATCATGCATCAACGACAATTTGAGTTATTTGACATGACTCTTGACGTCACTCTTCTACATACGGCACTCACTTTCACATGAGCAATCACCCCTTGCTTCATACATGTTCGCTTTTGATTGGTCATAATTCTCCGTCTTGGCAATCAGCGTATTTCTCCTCGAACAATGATTCCATCTCTCTAGTAAGACTTGAAGTCAGTTGGATCTCGTATTTACGGTTCTACTTACATTTCCCCAACTATTGTGCCTTTCCCGTTCCTAGTCCAAGCTTCTTCATGGGAGTTAGAAAAGTTACACATCCCATCAGATGATCTGTCAAAACGCTCACGAGATACTTCATGACGCTGACTGGACGGCTTGAACCTTACAGCTCTCCTCCTTACCCCACCCCAAAGAGTAAACCCTGTTCGGCTATAGATCGCTGAAAGCGGATCACCTCAAACTCTGTTTCATCATAATCAGGATATTGTTCCTCGCGATCCTCGTGGTTCCTTTCCTTTTCCTTCACGCCACTGGTGCTTTTATAACATTTATATTTCCCATATATATAAACACGCATGTCCTGTTCATATTTTCAGTGAATTCAGTCGTCGAACAAAGTATACCGAACACACTCAGCTTCTTGTCATCCATCCTTGTCATTTGTATTCCCCTTCGACCTTGTTAGAGCATAAAACCACCCGTCAGCACAAAGAGGCTGTGTGCCTGAGTCCACGTGCGATCTAAGGATGGAAATAAGTCAACGTTTAGGTGAGCACGAACCAGGCTTACCTTGCGAGTCAGACTTGGATTGCTCTGGCTCGGATTGCTCTGACTTAATCCGCTTTGCAACCCACCTCATGGGGCTACAGACGCAACACCAAAGAGACGCCAGCACATAAAATACACATTTAGCAAGCAGGTGAAAGAGGCGAAACAAAGGCCAGAGGAAGAAAAAAGGCATGAGAAGGAAGCGAAAGACTCAAACGAAGGAAATGAAGGAAGTCATTTTCAGGTGCAGACTCATTTTCTAAAGACGTGTATAGTAAGTTGTGAGACACAGAGCTCCTGAAAGCACAACTCACCTTTAGACTTCCAGTCCAGATGAACATTGGGATACTTCGATTTCTCGAACTGTTTCATGACTTGATTAGCGCTGAACAGCTAGCACATAGCCCATGTGACCATCAGTTCAGGAGCGATCAATGCCATTATTATGATGCCAAGTCGCCGCATCTGGATACCCGTATAACTGTTCTTAGGACTCGGAATGTTAGAGTGAATGGCACTGCATGTGCACGCAAAAAGAGTGAGAACGGAGCTGGAGATGATGGTCCATCATGATAGGGTTCTAGTCGTCAACGATGGGGCTCCAAAACGGTCGCTGATATTGATATCTGAATCTGCTGTATCCAGTGTTGTAGGTGCAGCTTGGATTGCTCCTACTAGGCCAACGAGGAAGAGGAAGAGGCAGATAAGTAGCAAGCGCATCAGTGGACGGGTGTATCGTATGCATCCTGTTCACTATTTGTATTTACTAGCGGGCGTCAATTCAAAGGAGCACGATGTTGATTAGGCCTAGCGCTCTTGTCTGATGTTTCAAGTTGCAACATAGCACTTGGGCTTAATGATCCGTGTGAGTGCAAGCCTGCTTAGTAACTTGAAGCAAATTCGAGTACTTGAATTTATTTATCTCCGAATGTCGATCGTAGCGAACCGAACTGCAGCCGGTTTGACATTGGTAACGCAACGGTTGTACAGTGGTTCATGTCAATTCTTTGTCCGAACTTCGATACCTTTGGTTTGTAGCTGCAGTCTTGACTGGCAGCAACTGCGTCCCGTCGGGTCCTTCTGATGTTTCATTCCAAGCTGGCGGCCATGGTGAGTTGTAGTGCTTGCCTTGTACTAAACATTATGTACTAATGTCCAACTCTGCCAGATTCACCGTGACTTGAATGTGAAGTACCGACACTGACGTGTGTCCATTCCTAGCTTGCACTATCATTACGCAAGAGATATCAAAGCCTGGCGATGATTCAGTCACACCAGCGCATGCCTTCAACTTGGCAACCGACGCTTGATTATTCCAATCGTGTCATGTTTCTAGCTGCTATATCTACCCGGTGAGCCTTTACATAACCTGTATCAAGAGCACAGCCAGACTCTCTTAGCGTAGTGAGACTTGTTGTAATCTTTTCAAAGTGCATCTCACTCGAAGCAATTCATATCATAACTCACATGTGATTCAGTCGTGGTGCAACTGACCTGTCGACTTCCTAGATCAAGTCAGACCGGGATCTTATAGGTCGACCAGATCATCCTCGGTTGCTTCGAGACTGCGGCGCATTCGTTGCACACCTGCAAGGAGATTTGCATGCGATATCTCTCGCACAGTGAAGGTATGCATAGCTATCTCGAATAACCGATGAAATATTGTGCTGATTGTAATTTTTCAAGGGTTGGGCGCTCAGACAACAAGAACCGGCCCAGCCATGCTGCCCTCTTACTGCACGGCGTCCCATTCTTGTACTAGCTTGCCTCGGCAACCGAGTAGGGCCGTCAGCATGCCCCATCAAATGTTTGTATATAATTTCACCATGTTAAACTCATCTTCGAAGCAATTGCGCGCCTGAAACGGCCTGATGGGGTACGTCTCACATAAGGGCACTGGGGTTCCTAAAATGCCATGTCCTGCATCGGGCTATCTCGAGCTCGACAGGACAAAAAAATTATTAACAAAAAGGTTGGGCGAGCGGTTATCACGGTAGAATTGCAGTATCTGACTAGAAAGCTGACACCCCCTGAGACATCCAGGGTATTCTACTTAATGAACCACACCTTGTCAGCGTGTTGCTTATCGGCACCTCAAGTCGATCACCACGGCATCGAAGGTTTGCTGGCGCTTCAAGAACAGGTCCCAACTAAATGTGTACATGCACGTATGAGCGTCGGTTCTCATAGCGTCTACGATAAGCACCCTCGCAATCCGAGGGCAGTTGTCAGTGATGGCCCGAGCCTAACACATGTTCAGCTGCAAGATTTAATCTACCTTCTCTTCGGCCAATTGTTGTCAAACTGGGTCGTTGGTTCAGCGAGCAGAATTTCCAGCTGATAAACGACTCTTCTTTCTTAGCGGTCCTGAACCGTTCATTGGCACGGTGTTAGTCTCGCGACTCTTGTGCGCGTTTCATGCATATATCAATGACTAACCGTAACAGTAACTGTCTATGCTTGCTTCGGTATGTAGATTTCCTGGTCCTTGTGACGCATCATGTCGAAGACAATTCAAGAGTTCTCCCCGAATGAGATGGAAGTCGAGCAGAAAGGCCGTAACAACGCGTGCACGTACAACATCGGAATATTTGCGCCATGTACTTGGTTGAGGAATCAGCTCCTCGGCGGTGTCCGAGTCTGTGTCGCTCCAGCATATACTGTATGCGTTATCTTCAGGTTCTGTTAACTGGGTTTGAGGCTATGCCAAAATGCAGTGGGCAGAGAATGATACTGATCCTCTTCGAGACTGTCAGCAAGGCGTCTCCCAAGCGTCAGATTCCAGTGAAAGGAGGGATTCGGAATGACTCATCGATTGTCCAAGACTCCAGGTGTCATGGCTATCCTGGAGAGTTGTCATTGGGAGATGGGTCACTGGTAAGCTTATGGAGTTGTGCGAGGAGAGAGAAACTGAGATAGGCGGACGATGCACAAGGAAGAGGCTAAGCAGATATGATGAGCTCCTCGTGTGCCCACACGGATATCATCCGTTTCATCTGAATCTACAAACCCCGCGTGTCCTCTTCATCCTTGCCAAGTGGTGTCAGCAGAACTTTAAAAGGCGATTCAAATGAGGAAAGGGCTTTGCAGGTGATATGGGACAACAGAGGGTTGGGGGCTTTCATAGGATACACGCATCTTAGAATTTGGTCGATAATACACTGCACTCGATGACAATGTAGATAGGGATCCGCACGGGTATACCCTGGGGTGTTGGGGACCTGACCCGCACCCGCACCCCGAGGTATACCTGGACCCGCACGAAGGGTGTGGGTTTTTTGGGGGTATGGCCAGCTCGTACCCTCACCCGCACCCATGCAGGGTTTACCCGTGGGTAGTACATATAAATATAAAGTTAGAAATATGAAAAAAAATGATTGTAAAATAGAACTTACTAAGACATTGCGAACGGTGGGCAACGACTTCGATCAGTATGGCTCGAGCTCGATGGAGGATCAACACACTACGAACAATAGACAATGACTTCAATCAGTACGGCTCGAGCTCGAACGAGGACAACACACTCACGTTCTACGAACGTTGGGCTATGACATGGATCAGAATGGCTCTTGCTCGAACGAGGATCGGCGCACTCACATACTGCGAACGTTGGGCTACGACTTGGATCAGCATGGCTCTTGCTCGAATGAGGATCGGCGCACTCACATCCTGCGAACGTTGGGTGACGACTTGGATCAGCATGGCTCTTGCTCGAACAAAGATTGGCATGCTCACATCCTGCGAACGTTGGGCGACGACTTGGATCAGCATGGCTCTTGCTCGAATGAGGATCGGTGCACTCACATCCTGCAAACATTGTGCTACGACTTGGATCAGCACGGCTCTTGCTCGAACGAAGATCGGCATGCTCACATCCTGCGAACATTGGGCGATGACTTGGATCAGCATGGCTCTTGCTCGAATGAGGATCGGCGCACTCACATACTGCAAACGGTGGGTGACGACTTGGGTCAGCATGGCTTGAGCTTGAAGGCAGGCGTTGTGTTGAAGAAGATGGAGGGGTATAGCACGCTATAGTAGGTAGTGTAAGCATTAGCAATAGGACAAGTGTAGTAAGTACCGCTATAGTTCTTGATTATGTAATGTACCGGTCAAACCCGAGCGCGGGTGTGGGGTGTGGGTCCGGGTACTCAAAGTGCGGACCCCCACCCGTACCCCAGTAGTACCCATACCCGTGACCCGCATGGGTTACCCATACCCGTGCATATGCCTAAATGTAGACGACAGATTTCAGTAGGGAGGGTAACTTCCTGTCGCCCGTTCTCGAAGGGGTAGAGGGTGTAGATGGTGCGAGAGATAACCATCTGAGCCCTTGTACCTGTGCGGGGGAAGGGTCGTGTGTAGTGGGTGCTGATTCATAGCACTTTTGGATAGCCTTTGGGGTGGCGGCTAGTTGGAAGACGTGGCACGGGGAGATGAATGGCAAGGAGAAAGTTAGGGAACACAAGCAACACACCAGGAAGTGGCAAAACGGACACATATATACGCCCTGTATTGACATGTAATCCTACTACTATGGGTGTAGATTGAGTGGTAAAACTTTTTTCACGAAACAAGTACTGGGTCAGACGCAGCAAGACAAGACTTCTAACGGCAATGTCGTCAACGCAATGTTACAAAAGATAGACATCTAAAACACTGACCAAACAACCAATAATAAAGTATTGGAGGCAATGCATTTTCGTCTCCCTAGTACTTTGGTTATCAACGTCAATTCTTATGGTGGATCTTTGGTGATGGTTCAATTTGCCGTTATGCCGAGTACATTTTTCACAGTCCGCTATATTTATCGTCATATATCTTATATCTATCATTGTATATATCTTAGAGCAACAATTCCGATGTCACAGGCACGACAACAACAACCTAGTGCGGAACAGATGCCAAGCTTTTTCAGATCAACATTTATAGTTTTGGTGATCCAAACTTCGTGGCGCCGGTCTCACGGTGAATGGACTATTGATGAGGGTGAAAGCTGGGCTGTAATAGGGACAGGCTTGAAGCTTGAAGCATAAGACAGCCCTTTTGCAGGTCCGTCGTGCTAATATTCCGAAGTGTTTGCATTGACAAATTCACACTGCGCTGTAGATACTCATAGGTCACCTACGTATAACTCCTCTGCCCTTACCCGGTGGGCTGTTTCCTTTCCTCTCAGACCCTCCTCGCGGCCCACACCTGTGTGGTGGCTCTTGTATCATTCACGCATCAGCCCTGCACAGCAGGTGGTGCCTTCTATGACTACACGTACTCGATGAACCTTTGAGTGAGTCATTGAACTCAAATTCGATGAGCACAAATTATAAT